TTGAACCTTTTTCAGCAATTTTGATTAAAGCAGCGGCACAGGGGCGTAAAAAAGGAATATTCCGACAGAATTAATGAACTAACGTTTTCGGTAGATCTATAAATAAGCAGTTGGAATAACTATTACTCAGTCAGCTTTTGCTCGACTTATCGAGAGAGAGAGAGAGAGAGACAGAGCAAGACTTCTGAAACACTTGTGGTACCACAGTGACATAACGGTATCAAACAGGTAGGTCATATGTCTGTAAAACATGTATTTGTATTTTAACTTCTCAACATACAGAAATTCAAACATATTTGTATATTTCACAGACCAGACTGAAATCCAGGCACATTTTAAAACCGCTTAGGTCAGATTGATTTTCATAGTCACAGACAATAGAATAATCACATCCCTCATAAAAATATTTTATGCAAAGAACCTCTGACCAAGAACGCCTTGTATTAACTTAGTTGCATGCGGAGAATTAAAAATCATTTACTTTAATTTTTTGGGTCTCACATAGGGGTTCTTTTAACCGCATGTCAGCCCTGCGAGTACTTTGACAAAAATTTTGAAAATTCTGTGCTACGTGATACTTTGAGTGAATCAATTCAGAAACAATGGATGGGATCTTTAGAGTTAATAAAATTGCAGATCAGTTTGGTGCGGAAAACTCGCAGAGGGGAATTAAAAACCATGCCTGGTTTTCAATCTGGCCTGTGCATGTGATATATATATATATATATATATATATATATATATATATATATTGGGATAGCTTAAAAGTGATAAGGGAAATCGTACCAACACACCAGCCAGTCGTAATAATTAAGTGATCTTCATGTTTAAAGATGTATAGCTGACTTTGCTCTGTGCAAACATTTACCTTTCTTTCTTACTTTCTTTCTTTCTTTTCTTTTTTTTTTTGTGTGTTTGTTATATTATTTATTGATGTTAAGAAACACTCTTTCCCGGTCCACGAGGAAGGCATACATCTTTCTTAATTCCTGTATAGTATAAAGTTTAAAGATAATCTATTCGCATTTGAAAAAAATTCAAAATCATATTTTTGTCTCATTTACTGCCCAGTCATTAAAAAGAATCAATATTTAAGTTTAAAATTAATTAAAGATCGCATCGAAGATCAGGGTCCAAGGGGTTTCTAGCTAAACTGCTTTCAGCTTAAGCGTATTAGATGTCTGGCATGCCAACGGTAGCTGCTTAACGATAATTAATTACCCCTTAGCGGCTTAAGTAGGCGTGACAGACATCTAAACCGCTCAATTTAGCGAGAATCCCCTAAGATTCGATGTGACATGTTTCTTTTTCGTGAATTATCTCAGCCTATAAAAACAAGAAGGTAAATTTACTTCCATCAACAGAAATAGTGTTTAATAAAGACACGCACTGAATTATGTACATTTTAAAGCACCAAGACCATATCACTGCTTTCTTTCAGTCGACTTCAGATGATCGTCAGTATGGTGATGTTACAAATGGTATTCGTTATTTTTGGACTACAGGCCGTTGTTGGTGATGTATCTTTCATCTTCAATAATGTTTTTTTCGACAATCTGATCTCATGGCTTCTCATTCAAATAAGCATTTTTATGTTCAGATCAATTGGATTCCTGTATTTTTTTAAAATTCAGCTTCATTTGAAATTTTATTTTCAATTCTCCGTTTATCTATCATTTCGCTGTTTATTTATTTTTTTAACTATTTATTTATTTATTTATTTATTTATTTATTTATTTTATTTATCAACAGGACAAGGTTTCACGTACTTTGGACCAAAGTCAACCGGCGCAGACGACGCGGCCTCCATCGTGGCCTGTCCCCCAGGATTCGTTGGTACGAACTGCGCATGCTCCAATGATGCTGACAGGTGTGACGGAGCGTACTTCAACAGTGACGGCGTGTGTACAGCTCGTAACACGTGGAGGAAAAGCGGAATAAGAGTGAGTGGTAATTTTTTAGTGTTTATTGACACTGATTTTCATTATGCCAAAATACGCAGTTAGTCCGTAAGCAAGCATCTGATCATGAACTCAAAAATAAAGTAGCGAGAAAATCCTGCCAAAGCCTGTCTATGGTTTGTTGAAAGGGGGTTGCTAATATATATGAACTGAAAATAAATTAGTGAGAAAATGCTGCTAAAGCCTGTCTACGTTTGTGGTTCCAGCACCAGCACAAGGTACATGTACTTGCCACGTGATACATGCCACGCAAGAAAAGGCGGGACATTGCTTATGTATTTGAAAGTAAAAATGAATAGTCGTGGGTTTAGATTTGACATTAAATTAATTACTTCTCGTACTTGATATTTATTTCTCTTCATTAAGGCACGTGTGACCTGCCAACCGCTGGAGTCTCTTGTTCGTAATACCAGTGTGGGAAGCCCCGGCTTCGTGCGTAATCCTATGGTTTCCTGCCCCGACGGCAGTCACCTCCTCCACTGCGGTTTGCATCATCCGTGAGTTTTACGGTTTTCTAGTATTAAACCCATCTACTTAGATCTTCATAAACTAAATCGTGTATTCAGTTCCTTTCGAATTTGTGACTCAAGCGATAATAAGATACAGCTTTATCTACGGATTTGGAATTATAACTTTTTCTTTTTATTAACTTGTATGGTTAATAATTCTTGCTGTACGACACACCTAAAAATACGAACGGTAGCCTGCATTGCAGTCAAGTGAAGAATTGAGTCATATTCGAACACTGCCTGTATATAGGCCTAAATGGGGGTTAACTCTTCTAGGCATATTAATGACATGTAAGAGGTCATAACATGTCACCATATTCAGCGTACAAATGCTTGTAATTTTGCGTTCTTGCACATTTTATTGCAAAGGTCAAACCAAAATGATGGGATTTTTGCCTTAAACATACCAAAGTGAAAATCACTGACATTGAGCTGGAGAGAATTATCGCCCAAGCTTTCGATTCGGCTTTAAATTTAGTATGGAAAATGAGTTTAACTACATCGATGTTATAATCCAAGTACCGTAGTAGTAAATAATATATCAAAAGGCATGTTTGCTAACTTATACTTCATTCTAGGTGGATTCAAGCTGAGAGTGATCCACAATTCAACGTCGTCACTGATGTGGAGAAAAAGCAATGCAGACTGGATGGCAAACAATGTGTGAAGTGTCGTCTGTATGCCTATTGCATTGCCGTAGGTGCGTAATGGGAAGACATTTACGGTGACTTGTATATGTAATGGCAACGACTGGAATTTAGTTTTAGTAAATCAGTGCAATGTTGCCTTGTACGGTGTGGATTTTTTCCTCAAATCTCTACAAAAATAGATAGATTCGTGGACATTTTATTTGCGGGTTATTGCCCACTCCCAGCCGAACCTAAACATATAAATGGTTAGTGCGGTTTGATGGGTTTGGCGTGTAGCCAAAAACAAATGAAATTGTCTTCTGCTTTGTTTCAGGGAAATAAACCCCAGTCGTTGTTATGACACGCGCACGGAAAACATCAAAGCAGCAGGAAAAATGCAAGCATAATGATAATACTAATCGGCGAAATTCTGTAATGGACGTCAACTATATACACTTGCTTGCTTTAGACAAATAATCCGCTTCTTCATTATCTGGCAAAATGAGCCTAAATGCTTAAAAGCTCTTTCAAATTTGAATAAGGATACTGTTTGAACTTTGGACCTAATTTCCAATCGCTGGTGAATTTGAAAGCAAGGAAGATGGCAATGTGAATGAAATACAACAACTATTAATAAAATATCATGCTTGAAATCGTGTTTCCTTTTTATATCCATGCCTCAATTTTTTTTTACTAAACATGTTTAGTGAAAGTACAATATAATGAAGCATTAAGATGAACAACAACTATTTGGAATGGAAAGGGGGTCTGCGCATGCGATGTGTGTTGGGGAGCACGTGCCACACGTGATGTGATCTCACTCGTCTCTCTCTCAGAATATGGGGCCATTCAGAACAGATGATCCGAGTATTAACCGATCCGCCGACTAAATATGGCCAACCCCACTTCAAAAGCGATCCCGCTGATTCCCGATGTTCTACCCGCTTCTGCAGGCACCGTTACACGAATTAAATCTCTTTAATTGCTCGGTCCCTGCAGCGAAGGCGCGTGTGGAGGCAGGGAGACCATCATGAAATTAGCAGCATCGCTTTTGAGGTGGGGTCGGCCATATTTAGTCGGCGGATCAGTTAATACTCGGATCATCTGCTCTGAATGGCCCTATAGCTCAGATATCCCCCTGACAAAGGTAATCCATGCCCACCAGGTGTCACTGTAATGATAACAAGACGAAACAGGTTGAAGTAAAACCAGGTATCTTAATTCATCAAAATATGCTCTATAATCCAACCATAATATGTAATTTTATCACGCAGGATAAATAGCAAGGGATATTAAAACTTACGGTTGTTGCTTTTATGGCGCATTTATAGTTTTAATGGATCTTATTGAAGCATGGTCTGTATTGTGAATTAAAGGCCAGAATTTTGAAAAGTCGGTTAACTTGTGAAGAATTCGGAATGATATTACTGTTTTTTAACATATGATGATTGAGAGCATATAAACTAGATATTTTTTGTATATTCATTGTCAGGGGAAGGATTAAAATGTCAAATCCACAGTATTGGCGATTCTTATAATTATAGAAACAGCTTAAAGTCCTTTCCTGGGTCAATTGTACATTTTGCATTTTAGCAAACCGGTGACCAATTTTTCCAATAATAAAAAAGAAATAATAATAAAATAAAACAAAATAAAATTTAAGTAGGTGCAAATAAAAAGATAACCTCAAACACGGTAATTTGATTCGGTCGAGCTCATTTACCTACTAATCAATTTTCTCTGACCTTGGAACGACACTGTGTGTATAGCTGAGTTGTATATACGCGGAGTAATCACACCATTAAACTGCTTTTAATGTCCCTCTGCTAGACACGTTAAGCACTAAATTATCCAACTGAAGTTTACATATTCAGCAAAAAACTTAATACATATGCACCCAATGTATCTTTTCACAGCCGGCTTTAGTGTATCTTCATTAGCGAGTTAGCTGTACTGGCGTTACAGGAATAGTAGTCCTAGGATTTTAATTTTTTGGGAGTTTACTCTCTTTCGCGATAATATCAAATGACCAGGTGTAACGCGGGGATGTTCGTTTACATGCAGATGTACAGGTAATAACCATAAAGTTTTTTTGTCATTCTCTCAAATATCCCTCAGCAGCTGTGACGATAAGATACTTGTCTAACGCTTTCTTCCAACCATAGTTAAAATCAGAGGTACTCGTTTGATGCAACTGTTCCAATATTTTTACAAGCCTGGTATATACTCGTTATTAGGTGCTATTACATCACCTGTAGCCTGATTCCCAGGTAAAGGTCTCATGTTTGCATGTTGACACTGAAATATTGGCGCGGCAACCACTGTGCATCCAGCTGCTGTTTACAGAAAGGATCGTCTTGACTTTGATTTACGTACAGCACCCAGTCCCCCATTTTATTCCATAATGACATTCTCGGTCAGTTGTACATTACAGTTTATATATGCTGGCACTAATGCCGTTTAACGAACTGGAAAATTAGTCCGTGGAATTTTAAAGTTACACTCACACTGTAAAGAAATGGACTGGTGATGAAGCGATTTATACGCATACAGTACACTTACTAATAAGGTAACACTTTAGAATGTGTTTATATGCCCCAAAATACCACCGAGAATATTATTTTCAGCAAATATACCGGTGTACAAGTATGCTTTAAGAGCAAACGCGATTCTCAAATGTTTCTTTAATAAAAACAGTTTGAGCGTCACAGTTGGTCGCAGGTACTTCAACCTGTGTACCCTGTGCTGATTGTTGTAAATAATGAACATTTTATTGTGTGTTACATGTAACCATGATCATTATTATTGGCGTGCTGTATTTTAATTGATTTACAATGTTATTGCATGTTAATAACATATTGCATATTGTGTATTAAGTATTAAATGTGTGAATTGTTATAATTATAAATATATTTGGTTTATCAATATTATGCTTGTCGGTCATAGATGTTTGAACAAATGATTATTGTTATATGCACAGTGTATTTAACTTTTTTTTAATAATGATGACATGAAACTGATGATATGCATTAAGGAAGATTCTCACATTTTGCGACTTAATTATTTATCAGTATAATTTTATAAAACACGTGGATTGAATTGATATAAACCAGTGTTTCTCTTATAATCAGCACAGAGGAGAGCTACAATGTGAACAAATATGAAGATGAACAAGTACTTCATCATGAACGATGCGCTGGTCGCAACTTTGTGGTGAATGTTGTTCATTGGACAGGGGAAGGCCAACCCTATTGTCTCATGTAGTGCATTCCTACTATGTCAAAATAACAGTCAATAAAAGAGAAACCGTTAAAGAAAATGTGCCTGAGCCATAACGAGAGAGCAACATATTTCGATATCAGCATAAGAAAACAAATAAAAAGTATCTTTGCTCTTGGGCCACACATTCAATGGTGTAAATGACAATACGAACTATATCCATGAAGAATTGCATTTTCTTTAAAAAAGTTATTACATTATCTTCCTTCAGGTGATATATTTTTTTGTTTCATGTCGAATGTGTTTTTAATTTTAAGTATAAGTAACTTGTATAGAATTACTTTTCTTATTTATATTTTTGCTTGACTTTATGATAGACATGGAGTGTTTAACGAAGGTTATCATTAATTTTATTATTGTTTTATTTAATTTTGCAGAAATTGATGGATTTGCGTATAACATTTAAATTTTTGACATATATGTGACATCATCATTTAAGTTTTTTTTTTTTTTTGAAAATTTACGTATTTTGTGTTCTTTAGTATTTGCTTTGCTTTCGAAAAAATGAAAAAGGAGCGTATGTTGTAAAGTTTTAGAATTCGAGGACGAATTCTTTTGGAGAAGGGGTGTATGTTGTAAAGCAAATGACATACACTTTCGATAATTACAAAACATTCAAAACAGAATCAAATGTGTAGGAAGTTATTGAGTGCAAAGTAAATGTCTTAATGTGTCAACGAGTGTAGAGACTGTTCTCGAAGAAGGAAATGGTGGAACGTTTCAGAGTCCGATATAGTTGGATCTGATTGGTTGATTTTTCTATCGATTTGCGCGTGTTTAACACGTGTAAAACTCCTGCATACTAGAGTTGGACAAGATCCAAGATGAGTAATTTGGAAAATATTTTAAATATTTCAAATCATAAACAAGTTTTATTAAAATTACCAAATGAGGAAATGTTGAATAGAGTTTTGTTATATGAAAATGGGAAATTTGAGAATGGAAAATAGTGTATAAAAACTTGTACATTCTGTGAAAAAGAGAGTCGGTGAATAAACGTTCGAAAGCTCCAAACTACTGTCGTCATTCCTCACTATAACAAGATGTTAAAGAGCGAGATATAATGTCGCCATACCCTTGAAATGTACCAGGGTGACAGATACATGTATTATAGGCACATTTTCCATCAGGCAGGTGGAAGATTGACCATATTTAGCCAGAGACATTATCTGTGAAGATCTAGTGAAAAATCAACCAGTGAACCTAGTAGAGGGTAATGTCGTCAAGTGAACTGTTAGACCAGTAATTAATTAAAAATATTTTTCAATTATTTTTTTTTTTGTTTTTAATTTTAATTTTTTTAAATCATCACACCAGTGATGTATTTACTACTACATGTATAGTACATTCTCTGGTATGCCTTTCTGATGTCTTTTAAAAATATTGGTAACACAACAGTTGAAAGCCAAGCAAAATACCAATTCTGTACAACTGTGGTCGGGTGGACTCTTTGAACCGTTCGGCAGTCACGAATACAGTCTGATTAGCCCATTAGCAACGAGTTCAAATCGTAACGTTACGCATTGGTGCAAACCTTTCCCATTCAGATACGTGTGAATCGGTCTAAGACTTAATGTCAACTTAATGTAAAAGAAATGGTAATTGAATGTGTATGAACAAACGGAGAGAGTTTAATTAAAATCCCATGTTATTTATTTAAGTTTCAGTTATATTGGTCGGTTGATGTTGCAGCTGATACAACGAAGATTATGTGAGAGAAAGATTTAGTGGCCTGCCAGGCTGCAAGGATCATTAGGCCTATATAACGAGGAAAGGAGACTGTTTCATTTCATCTAGACATTGTTCATATTCGAGTCACACCTTTCGGTGGGAATGTAATCGTATGTATCAGTGGTTTTCAAGCTTCTGAGCCTTAATAATTTCGATGAGCTGTCGTCATAAATAGCGGTATCGAGCGCAACAACAGATGGAGTAGACGAGATTTATTATCTCACTGAAGACTGGAGGCGGCCAAACAAGGTGGAATAACGATATTTTATCTTTGACCAATATTAAATTGAAGTAAATCTAAAGGGATTAAGTAGCACATACGTCGGGTGAAACGCACATTTGCATTTTGACACCGTTTTGACAGCCCAGTGACAATGTAGATGTAAATTTGAACCAACGAATAAGCTCTGTTTTGTGGCACATTTGGTTCTTAATCTGATGCGTATTTAGTTAGCTGCATAAAGATATATATTTTTAAAGATTATATATAAGTTTTATAATAAGTCCAACTACAAAGGGTTTGTGCTCATTTCCAATGAAGCTATCGTTCTATGCAGATCGATCCAACACCGCGGGAATTCTCGCTGAATGCAATCAGTTTTACAGATGGGCTCGTCTCTCCTTGTTTCCGACGTGCTCTTATAATCATCAGTTATTTATGTGTACTCTTCTCAAACTAGGAAGAGGCGTGTTAGTATGTTAAACTAATTGCATTCAGTGAGAGTCCCCGCGGATTGGATTGATCTACATATACATTGATAGTTTCAAGCGTATTGAGCCCTTTAATTCCTTACGAATCTAAAGACCAAAACATTCGTTATTATGTCCAAGCACCCACCAAGCAAAGATATTGCATAGATACGTACAAAATGAATTTTTCTTTCAACATTCATAGCGTTTTGTTTTTGCTATAATACAATGATTCATCAAGAAATATTACGCTTGAATCATCTGCGGTCTAAATAGTTAAATTGGCGCACCTTTTTGACACGAAAACCATAGCTGAAACCATATTTATCCCAAATCTTGTCATCATTAAATTCTGTTTTAATGCCCATTAATAAGATGCTGACCCCTATCGTAAACCATTCGTAGAAAACATATGGGCTTAATGCTATTTGTACGTCACACTTAAGTTGTGGGAATACAAAGTTCAGCGGTAGTTGTCACTCCAGAGCGGTGTTGGGCGATCTGCGAGGTCTCTGAAAATAATATAAGGAACGTCAAGAGCCCACCCTTAAAAATTCCCCTAGGACCACTTACAGGACTCAGTGGAACTCGACCCTCTGGGAAATCTATCGGACATCCTGTAGGATTCTCGTCTTGGTCCTATATCTATTTGGCCTTACAGATAATTGGTTTTGCGCCAATTTCCTATAGGGTCCTAAAGGAATTGCTTTCCAATAGGCTTACTCTGTAAGGGAAAATATACATTTAGTTTGTCAGTTGTTTATGACGCATGTCTTGTTTCTTTTTTCTTTCAGGGACAGATCGTATCAAGTGACCCACCCAATCTATATACAGCGGTGTTTATTGCAATCAATTCGGTAGATGCACAGCAATCCACACGCCGTGTGAAAGAAGTTGGTAATACATGTAAATTATCGATCATGCTATTCAGTTGAACGGATGGCATCTTTTTTATCTTAAGACATAAGGGGGACATCAAGTATACCAAACTGAACTTGTGTGTTTTTCAGTTTAATGAGGAGGCACTCCCCAAAATATACCGATCTCTGAAGAAACGTGGCATGGCCTCTCACTCAATGATACGGACCTTGGTACTTGCGACTCTGGTTTTCTCCTGGCCACTTGTTTATTTTGTGACCAGATTTTCGATAGAGGCGCATAAAATCCAAATATTGATGCCGACAGGTTCCAATGACAGGATCAGAGACAGTTGTCAGTGCAACAATGTGACGTCATTGTCCGTGACATCATTAAACTTGACGTCTCCACCAGTGATGCGAGGCGGAGAGAGCAAACTTTTTTCCCCGAACTCTTCAAACAACTCTAATGATATTCGTCTACCGGTGACAAGTTTAGTATTCTTAAAGACGCATAAAACAGCAAGCAGCACAGTTCAGAATATCGTCATGCGTTTCGGTTACCAGAGGGGCCTCGTTTTCGCCCTAGGAGCAGAGCGAAATATGTACCAGGTGGGAAACTTCCCCGCCATTTTCAAACCAACGTATGCTTTACGTAGTGCTGCTGGGAAATTCAATATCCTATGCCACCATACACGATTCAGTCGAGACATTCAGAAAATTATGCAAGACGGCGCAGTCTATTTTACTATTTTGAGGAATCCCACTAGCGTGTTTGAGTCCATCTTCTCTTATTACAATATAGCTCAAGTATACAAGCTAAATGCAACCAACGGACTGGCAACATTCCTTGAAAGACCGAAATATTATTTCACATTCCCCATTCCAGATGTAGATGCTGCTTTGAGAAACCCGCTTCTTGTAGATTTTGGGATGAACGTGGACATGTCTGACAACATCACCGCCATCTATGAGAAGATATTGGAACTAGAACAGAATTTTGATTTGGTTATGATAGCAGAATATTTCGACGAATCCTTGATTCTTTTGAAACATTTACTGAACTGGTCGCTCACTGATCTTGTTAATGTTAGATTAAATGCCCGTCCTAAACAGAAAATTGTACAACTTGATCCAGGAAATTTAGCGAAGATGAAAAGTTGGAACGCCGGTGACCATTTACTATACGACCATTTCAACCGAACGTTTTGGAGAAAGATCAAACTCTTTGGAGTCGAAAGACTACAAAAGGAAGTTGAAGAGCTTCGGAAGATTAACCAGTACTGGAAAGCCGTGTGCTATGATAAGGAAACGAATGTAAAAGCTAAAGGTTTACAAAAGTATACGGAAGTTGTAACGTATAAGTTGAGTCAACAGGGTTCCAAACACATGGATTGTAGTTTGATGTCTCTTCAGGAGATTGAATTCTCTGACTTGATCTATGAAAGAATGCTAAAACGAGGTCAGATTCTGGATAAGCGACCACCTAAATGGCATGGGAAGAAACAATGATTTTGTGGGCGAATAATTAAGCTGTTTTAAAGAGGCATTTTTGTTTTTAAAAAACATGGCCTTTTGAGTTTTCATTATAAAGTTCCTCGGACACGAGTGACACGTGTAAAGGGTTGAGACGTCATGCCCCAAAGCTACACATGCATTAATAAACCGCAGGACAGGCATTACTAGGCACAGATAAGTATGGTGTACATTCACTAGCAGGTAAATTGACACAAACAATGAACGTATGATGTCCAGCAAACATATCATACGGTAGCACACTGGTACTGTTAATGAAGTAAAGAGCTTGATCGTGAAAAGTAAACAACATATGCGTATAGGCCTACTTGTATGTACATGCACGAGTACATTGCAAGTAGACTTAAGGATCATCCGAGGCTGTCGGCGTCACGTAACGTCATACACGGACGAGACTAGAAATCTATAAGAATTAGACTGAGGTGGTATAAACTGTTTAGCTACATGTACATGTATATAGCATACAGGGTGCGTTACCGATTCTCCTGGGCTTTCAGCAATTTTGACTTTATCACCGCGGTATACCTTATCCTATGGTCAACTCGTTAAGAAAATGTATTACCATCTACAGTATTACATCTATGTATCTGAAGTCGTTCCGAGTTTTCAATGCTTGATTTTAATAACTCCGTTGTGTCTGTACATAAAAATGAATAAACGAACTTCAGGTTAATAAAATAATGGGGAAAATATTTTGTACATATTAAAATAAAACACGTTATAAAATAAAATTAATAAAGCAACAAATTGTAGCATTAAATCCATCTTTATTCAGAAAATATCACTTCACTACACCAGTATCTCCAAATTATCGGTTTCCATCCTCCAGTTCACCGCCTCGTTCTAGACGGTACTCCTACATACTCACTAAGTGTCACAATGTAAAAACGAGGCTAAGGATGGATTTTACATAAGGCATACACAGAGAAGCAGTCAACCTTATTGGATACATTGAGTAGTCAACTTAATTCACGTTCAACAAATTAAATTAACTTACAGAAGGCACACATCACTTATAATATGTAAGAGAAGATAGATGAAAGGCGCATACAGCACATCTGCGTTTCAATTACCATCTCTTAATAATACTCTAAAAATTATTATAAGACATATCAAAAATGTCCCAAACTCTAAAAACAAATCTTCATAAAGCTAGTAGTAATCGTTACAATTATGTCATGTAAAATGTTATTGAAGTAAGAATGCTTATTGAAAATGTCTCTCAAAGTCAAAGTGAATTGACAGGTACAGGACAGATGTCTGTTTTCTAAAATAAATAAACATTAAAAAATAGTACTAAGTAATGAACTGTATTAGCAAATAAAAAGATATGAAATAAAATAGTATTAAAATATTCACTACACCACTTGCAAATAAATAATTAAATACATAATAAAACAAACACATTAATATATCAAATTTGAAAGAGAAAAATTCAGACGTTGGTTCTCCATATGTTTACAAATTTCTTCAAAATATTCTTCATAACGAATGCTCACTTATTAGAGACTGAGTCTTTAAGGAAAATAACTGTTAAGCAAAGAATAAAATACTACAGTACATAACACTTTAACACAACTCTTTAACTGGATGGATTGTTTCAGTGAGGCGTAAAACAGAATTCATAGGAATACAAATGAATGAAATGCAATGACTTATTTGAGCTAAAATTGTGAAAATATTAAGTAATACTGTGCAAAAACACTACTGCAGGCAATACTAGACTTGGAAGCTCACTATTATTACTAATAATACTCTTAGACTAATGTTTAATGAGACAAATCAGTTATAACTCCAAAACTATGACAAATCTGGTTAATTTGCCATAAGGGTGGACGGTTCACTTCAAACTACATTTTACATTTAACATATTTTGAAAAAAAAAAAAAATGGTCACAATATACACAATTTTTTTAATGAAATACTTTTGAATGTTTAACAATAAAATAATAAATAAACAAATAATAATAATAAGTGTGTATTACTGAGTGACATTATTTGCATTATGGTGATAATACATATACCTTGCCCCTTATGCTTTATAAAATGACCAGTTAATGTTTATCTCTCAGTCTTTATCTAATTAAGTAATTATAAATTCAATGATAATGAAAACCAGGACATAAATCATGAAACCCTCACGTTTGTGGTTCAATAAAGACTACCAAAAAAAGATTAATTAATTATTACCCTGCATGAATAAAACAAACCGTCCACTATGGTTATATATTATCTTTGTTGTCATTCTTTTCTTTTCTATTAACAGAAGGGTAATAATAAAATACAATACTAAGGATAAACATATTTGGATCTGGTTTTGACTGATCTACGTATTTAAAAAAAAAAAAGAAAAAAATTTATGAGCTAATTATGTGAGAACCAAACAAACACCATTACAGACATGACAAAACTCTGTGCAACACAAATATAATGCTAACACTTTTACATCATAATCAGACAACATCATACCAAGACACTGACCTGTTTGTTATTGCAACCATAATACTATCAACTACTGGGCAATACAGCACTACACTATTCATTTAAATGCTTTATTTGGTCCCAATATTGAGCAAATTGTCAAGCAAATGGAATTAAATCAGCTCTTATATTGTTAAGTCTGAAAAATCACCTGAATATTTTGAAAATGAAATTTGTCAAATTTGTTTCCTGTAGTTGGCCTGTATATCATGGGATTTTCTTCGTGGTCCATTAAAAAAAAATAAACAACCATGCATACATTTCAACAGTGCACTTTTTATAATGAACCTCAAGCAAATGTTTCTTCTTAATGTATTTAACTTCTTGTACTCTTTGTGACCATGGCTTTATGCAAAGCGTCTGTCTTCACGTGCACACTAAATATAAGCAACAGTAACAGCACTGTCCAACACAAGTACATAATGATGACTGCCACTTTCACAAACTAAAACAAAAAAGTTTTGTGTTAAAAGTCCATGACCATATTGTCCCTTCCTTGAATGTCTGTATGTAAGCAAGCTGACCATGGGTCTGCAGTCCACAACCAATAACTGATGACAAAAACTGTAATACTATGTGTTTCTTAATTCACCTCCAAATTCTACAAGTGTTATCCTTACTTCCTGGAACGTAAGAAATATATAGAAATAGATAAATACAATAAATAACTACACAAATATCTTTCAATAGATTAATATAAATTATAAATTGTTGTACATTTTTGCAGATGTGTCTCGACCACAGATCTCGATGTCCTGATTTAATATTAGAACCCACACAAACTTAATGTATACATAACTTTGACCTCATCTAACCCTTGACCTGACATGACCTTAGATGACCTTTGACCTCACAGCATGCATCACCTTTTATGACCTCTGACCTTATATGACCTCTGACCCCCACCTACCTGTAATTATGGTATTTCCTTCGTAGTTAAAGGCACAGCTGAAGATTTCGTCAGTGTGCCCTTCCAGCACTTGCTTACACTCCCCCGACTCTGGGTCCCACAGTCTGGCCGTTTTATCTGAGCTGGCGGTCAGGATGGTGTTGCCTTGAGGGTTGAAGGTGATCTGTAAAGATGAATAAGTAAACAAATAAATAAATAAATATTTAAATTTAAGTTTATGTTAGAAATGTGAGCAAATTTTTTCAGCAATAATATGTGAACACAAATATACCCCTTATTGCCACCAAGCTTGAAACCATGTGTCAGCCAGTGAAATGCCTTAAATTTGGTTTTAAAAAAATGGTGGAAACATCTATGTGTTTCTTACAATATAATGCATTTTAAATTTGTCCATAGTCTATGGTCTCAAGTCACAAAGTTAATGTTACACTCAGTTTGGAGTTCCATATAAAAGCAGTGCTGTATTTCAATGAGCATTCACAGAAAACACAGCTCACCAATTGTGCTGGAAATAGGTTAAGCAATGTACTTTTACCCTCAGTCAATTGACATGTCCCCATAAATTTTCAGATGCTTTTTTACAGGTTTCAATAACAGTTGAACAGCTGATCACAAAGATCTGGTAGGAACATAGTGAACAAACATATTATAAAATGGTCACTTACTTTGGATATCTCCCCTTCGTGGCCATGTAACTTAGCAACCAGATTCTGTGATATTGCGTTATAGACTCTGGCTGTGCCATCAGCAGATGCAGTCAGCAAGTATTGCCCTGTGTAATCGAAGCACACATCCAACACCTCATCATCGTGACCTTTGAGAGTACCAATACATTGACCTAGAATTAAAAATAAAAAAATCAGTGCACGATGCCATCATTGAGGAATTATTAGTCGCTTTGACCAATAAAGTTAACAATATGTTATTGTTTTTTTTGTAGCACAACATTGTCATATGGAAAATACTTCCATGAAGGTCAGATTTTTTGCTCTTGCTAAAAAAGGGGGAGAGATGTATCTGAAGTTTGGCTATGGAAAAATACATTATTCTGTATCTTTTGATCCTATCCATGACAAACTGTACATGCAATGCACTTTTTTTTGCTCATAAGTGAACTCCTGATACCATCATGATAATAATTTAAAAGAAAAAAAAAAACAGTCATTCCCTTACACAGTGAAAAAAATCACCAGCTGTGTTATACAGAACACCTTTTCTCTCTCACTCCTTCAGTGAAAGGACATCAAATATCATTTTGCTTTCTGCCACCATCCTTCTTACACCCCCCCCCCCAACACACACACACATAAACCAACTCTCATTTTCATAGACATGCTGAAATCTTTTCCCATTACTTTTTCCAGCCTAGCCGCACACTTACATTTGAATTAATCACAGCTCCCTTGCAATGACTATAAGTACAATTTTCTACAGCTCTGCGAAACTTTTACCATTCATGACCAGCAGGTACTATAGTTTCAGAATGTTAATTTTATGTTTCATGTTCCCCAGTACACACAATAAAATGTCAGTCTTCCTCAGGGGTTTTCCCAGGATTGGGGATACAGGCTGTCCCAAATGATCTCCTACAAAATTTCAGGGAGTCCAAGTCATCATTAAAAAAAATATAAATAAATAAATTAATAAAAGAATCATAAGCCGTCCAGCTGTCTCAGAAAATATTGGCCGCCCTATAATGCCAGCAGCTGTCCAAACGAAAATGGGATCGGAAACGACAAATGGGAAAAGCCTTGGTCTTACCAGATGCAGCATCCCATATTTTGCAGGTCTTATCCATGGACCCCGTGGCCACCAGTGAACAGTCCCAGTTGAACTGAGCACTGCTGATCTCTGCCTTGTGGCCAATCAGAGTGTGAATTTTTCTGGAATAAAAAAAAAAAGTTTTAAAAAGTTCAATAGACAGTAAGAATGACAAATGCACAGATGTTATCACCCCCCCCCCCCCCCAAAAAAAAAAAAAAAAAAAAAAAAGGTTACAAATCTATGCCTTATGTCCAATGCGAGTGGAGAGGGTTCTTTAGTAATAAGAAGAGACAAATGCGCAGATATATTTTTCAGAAAAATAAAGATATGCTCATCTCTGTATGTGGATTTTTTTATAATAAATGAATTATTTGTTAACAAAACAGGACAGATGGTTAAAACGCAGACATTCAAGCAGAGCCCAATCAGTTAGTGTGACCTTCTCCATTGTACATTCAAGAGAGCATGGGTCACTCAAAATTGTAATTCAATACGATGCAACATTTTTTATCCAATACGGTACAGTAGAGGTACAGTACAATACAAATACAACACAATACAATATATAAAGAGTGTTATGAATTAGAGTTGGTATTGTCTTGGTTGTGCTAGAGGTGACACACTGCAGTCTGTGTCCCTCTGGTGGGAGTTATAAAAGAAGCATATGATTGGAATCCATTTTGGAAGACGTGTGTGTGTGTGTGTGTGTGTATGTGTGTATGTGTGTGTTCGTGTGTGAGTGTGAGTGTGTTATAACAAAAAAACAGCATTGCACCTTTGTGTGGTGTTTTGGTGCATTTTTTTAATCAAACAAACAATTCGTGACAAAGAGAATCTCTATGACGTCCACTGATATATTATCCTGTACTCACTTCCCAGTATTAACGTCCCACAGCTGCACAGTGTGGTCAAAGGAGCCAGTCAGGAGTTGATTACCAGTGGTGTTGAAGGCAAGGGAGATGATCTCAGCTGAATGGGCCTGAAATTAGAATCCATAATAGATGAGTTTTCTCTGTATCTCTCATTTTCTTCTTTTCTCCTCTCACTCTCTTTTTTATTTCCTTTTTTTCCCCTCTTTCTTTCTTTAATCTCCCCTCTCATACCCTTGCTTGTCCAAATCCTCTCTCTTCATTTCTTTTTAAATTTCATCCTCTAATGCTAGATCTATTTTCTCTCTCTCTTCCATCTCTCTCTCATACCCTTTCACATAAATTCACTCTTCTGTTTGTGTGTGTGCGAGTGTGCATGTGTTCTTTAATTTCCCTGAATATTTCCCATTCCATGTACCTAGTTCTTTAATTTCTTTCTCTCATTCTCTCTCTTGCCCCCTCCTCTCTCTCTCTCTCTCTCTTTCCCTGCATATGTTTGTGCGTGCGTGTGCATGTTATTGGAGAGGGAAAGTCTCTGTTACCTACCCCCAGTGAACATATCTCCACCCCTGTCTGTATGTCCCACAGTTTGGCCGTGGTGTCCATGCTGCCAGTGGCAATTACTGTACTCTGGGGGTTGAAGGAGAGGCAAACCTGGAAAAAACGAAATATATTACTATAAACTTAAATCATGCTAAAATGCATCAAATTTAACTGCGTCATCACTGAAAAATGGATACAAATGTTTTTTTTTCTTTTAAATGCAACTCACACTTTTACATGAAATAGTTATAAAATAATAATAATAAGAATAATAATATTTGGAAATGTAAGCAATTCTCCTTTTTTTTTCAGGTATATCCTGTCATTGAAAAAATTATATTCTTCAGTTTATTTTTTATAATTCTTAATACCTAATTTAAACTGTAAGTGCTGTTGGTCCAGAACTGAGAAGAAACACTGATAATCAAAACTTACAATCTCGGCAGTGTGACCTCTGAAAGTGTGGTAGCATTTCCCTGTGTCGCTGCTCCACAATTTACAGGTCTTGTCAAATGAACCTGTTGCTATCTTGTCTCTGAAATAAAAATTCAGAAAGTTCTTACAACAAATAGATAAAAAAAAACTCATTGCAGATTCTGTCAATTTTATGAAATGAGATCTCTTTCTCCTTATTAAACAAACAACTCTACCTAGTGTTTGAATTTACTGTAAAAGATAACATTTACCAAACACATTCCAGTAATCTATCCAATCAAGTGAGTATAGTATAAATTAGAGAAAGATATAAATCATGATAAATAATAAAATAATAAAATAATAAACAATAAATATAACAGTTACCAGATACCAAACACATAGTTGCAGTTTTTTCTTAGCTGAATGCAGGCATCTTTTGAGGTAATAATAATAATAATAATAAGAAGAAGAAGAAGAAGAAGAAGAATGAGACATATAGGTACTAACCCATAAGGATTATTAAATGAGATGGCGTAAACCACATTGCGATGTCCCTCCAAAGTGTGGAGTTCTTCCCCAGATGCAGTGTCCCACACTTTGCACGTCCTGTCATAGCTCCCAGTGATAAAACTGAGTCAAAAAAGAAGAAAATTGTAGATTTTGACTTATCACCTTGTTCCAATAAAGAATGGATTACTGAACACTCATGCATGGTAGATGATTCAATGACAAGCTCCGAAGTTTCTTCTATATCCCAATTATTCATGATTCATGATTATTTTGTAAGATGAGCTGAATGCATTAATTGAATTTCTGAAATTTGCTGTCTGTCATACAGTGAAGATCAGTCTTATAATTAACTCATGTTGCCATTGTAGCAACAACCTGTTCTCCTATACATTATAAAAAAATCAACTAGACATGAAAAAAGGAAAAGGGAAAAGATGCACTTTTCTTCATCCAATAATCAATTTGAATGATATGATAATATCTGATTAAAAATTGCACCATTACCTGGATCCAGATTTATTGAAAGCTACATTGGTTAAAGGTAAAATATGAGCACGCAGCACCTGAAACAGATGGAAAAAATGTTCATAAAAATAAGGTTAAATAAATAAATAATGATTAACATCTATGTATCTATCATTTTAAAAAAATCACATAAAAATAAAAATGAAAGAAAGAAAAAACATGTTTTCCTCCAATGAGACATTTTGGTCATTTATAAAAAGTCCTTGATCACAAGGTTGACTTGTAGATGTTAGCTGTTGGTAAACATGGTAGCCAGAAAAATGAAGATTAAAACCTTTTGATGGACAGGTCATACAAAGGGGGGGGGGGAATTAAGCTCCGAACACAACCTACTTGTAATCATCTATCAAACTTTTCAGAATTATAAACACAAGAGAATTATGGGGGAAATATGACAAGTTGACTTTGTTTGACTTCTTATTGTGAAAAAAAAACTTGTTGCAACTTTTTTTCTCTTTCAGACTTTGCTCCTGTATAAAGAAATTTGTTGTATATCTCCCATCTTGTACAGATTAACAATGTATGCCCATTTTATTATTTTTTTTTTTTTAGTATTTGTTCAAGACAACCACCTCTATGGGGCACTTGGGTTTACAGATCTTTGGTTTGACCTGGACATGGAAAATGAACCCACATCCTCCTATAATGGAGAGAGCCTTTCTGTCACCAGAAACATTCAAACATTATATACAGTATTCTCAGCATTTTATGGGGACACAAGTCATTGATTTTTCCTCTCATCTGATATTTTCTTACTGAATGTGAAAAATTCAAGGATCATAATTTTGAGACACTGCTTCACCAAATAACAGCTTTTACCAGAGCTAAAACATAAACAATCACAATTTAGTATGGACAAAAGGTGAAAAAAAATCTGACCAAACAAAAGTCCTCAATTTTTTTCCTGACTGAGTGATATTTCTCAAATTCAATACCTTTTTCCTGGAAATGGGAGAAGTCATTTTCTAGTTGTTTTCCCAATAACCAGAAAAGCAGGTAAACCTGATATATACTAGTTTTACTTGTTCCTGTCCACAGTAAAATGTGTTTAACTAACCTTGAATAGATAGAAATGGTGGTCATCTGTTTGTCCCAATTTCTCCTGAAGGCCTGAGTGGACTGGTCAAGGAATATATAATAAACTGACCTTTGTAATAACTGACCAACATTGTGAATGTATGGATGTACAGTCTTAGCCCACAGGCCACAAAGATTTATGGCCCTCAGAAAATTACTTGACCGAACCACATTTCAACTGATTTGTAACAAGTCTTGAGATGACTTCTAAATATAATAGAAAAACTGTTCAAAATCATAGATAAAATTTCCATTTTTTTAAAGGCTGGTTAGACAGTCTGATGCCACATTTGCTTTTTGACTTTGTATCTCTACATAAAATTACAAAAGCATTTTTTACAAAACTAATATATAAATGTAAATTAAATTTGAAATATTCCCCATGCATAAACTGTTTAAGGATACGTAGCACCAACTTCTTCACTTGCTCAGCCTTGGAAGAAGTAATAAGAGGTTCCTTCCTGGAGATTTCATCTACCACAGCATCTGCATCTGTTCTAGAAATCAATGAAATGACTGGTGGTTATCATCCCATACGCATGTGCATCCCTATCTCTCTCTCTCTCTCTCACGCACACACACACACGATGATTGTGTACTGTTTATCTTTCATTCTCACAAGTGTGCATGTGTGTCTGTACTATGTATTTACTATTGTCAACTGCAAATATGTATGTTTTACTCTCTCTCTCTCTCTCTCTCTCTCTCTCTCATTTTCAGTTAAAGTGATAATAACTCTTCGTTTCTGTCAAAAAATGAATTTTCCTGGAGTAAACAACAATTTTCCCATACTTACCAATGGTTAATGAATCCATTTTTACTTTCAAATTTAGTCCCTGGTTTTTTTCTAAAAAGTTTGGTTTTTTGTTAAAATCTCTTAAGAGATTTTAACAGAGTATAGCCATCAATGGAGGTCACGTGGTCTAAAGACAAGCTCACATGTCAGAATAATAGCTATAACTGCTGTTTTTGTGGTAAAACAGAATATATTATATTTCTATGAGTTATTCACAATGTTTTTATTGTGAAATATAGATCTCATACAAAGAGTTATTATCCCTTTAATATGCAAAACCATACTGATCTACTTACTCTGCTTTCAGATCTAACAAATCTATGGACTTGGTCTTGAGCAAGCCTCCCTGTTCATACTCCAGAATAATTCCTATATAAAAGTAATACCATAAACATGTATTAATTTAACACTAATCATATCCATTTCCCAGGCTTTGTTCTTTGAAATAAGCTGGTCACTACCAAGCTGAATTATTTCTAATAAATTAATTTATTTTTAATTTTTCTTTAAATAAGTTCCAAAGTTCCAACTGGGTAATTGCAAGTACGCTATGTCATGAAAAATAAATTGGCCTGAAATCAAATAAATCATATGTTTTTTAGGGGAAAGTAGCTAGAACGTCAAGGTGAACCATAACATACATGTGACTACCTCAAGTGAAGGCAACATGTATGTACTAGACTAGTACTTCTGCGACTTTAAATAATGCAGCTAGTAATTTAAACAAGAGTAAATTCTTACAACTAAAACATTCTGAAATAATTCACAGCTAGCTGCAAAATGCAGAGCATTTTTTTTCAATTTTCTATCGATGTCGCTGACGGTGATGATTTTGCAGAGAACGTCCTCCCGGCCTCGGGAAAATAGTCAAATATGAAAAATATTTTCTTTTTAGAGACAAGTCACTCACAAGAAATGTTGTATAGACTCTTTTTAAGCTTGTGAATAACCGAAATCTGAAATAGCACTTACCCGGAGGATAATATCGTAGTAGAAATCGCTTCAATTTCATTTTCGTTGCCACCCAAACATTCAGTATGGCGGAATTCGTGGACCTGAAGTCAAGATACGCTACAAGCATTTCCGGTTTTACGTACATGAACGTAAATCGAATTTGCTAGTGATTAAAAGCTTTAAAAATATCTTTAGAAAACATTTTATTTGAAATCATTATTTATTCAGATTATTAATGTCTTTGAGTAATCTTCATTTCGTGAATGACTACGTGGGGCCTTTCTTGGATAGAAAATACAAGTGCCACCTTACGGTGAGTTTTGTAAAACACACACACAACAGCCCAATAAAGAGGCGCATTTCACATGCTGAAGTGTCCAAAAATAATAATAAATAAATAAAAATATAAATAAATAAATAAATAAATAAATAAATAAATAAATAAAAATTAAAAAATGAATTAATTCAAAATTGTATTCAATTTTTCTAAAAAAATATATGTGTATAGAACAAATGTCCACGACTGTCTCAATTTTAATTTAATTTTTATGGTGATTATATAAAATTTTTAATTTTTTCCATGTCTTTACAAGTTTCATTTGTACAAGTACTTGGTGCAATAGAAAACAGTGATTTCTGTTGGTGACCGAAAAATATGTTGTGATTCCATGATAGATTCCATAATATTTGGATCTCGAGTGGAGTAATACATGTAGTTTATTTTTAAATTAAAATGCTTATCATACTGTCGGTAGGGTGTACCGGGGGTGTTTCCCCCTTTTTTGTTTTTTATATTCAGTGACAAGCAAACTTAAGTCGCTCAAAAACAATTGACTGCTCTAAACAGAAGATTTTCACAATTTTTTACAACGTAATACTTGTAGGAGATTAAAATCAAAGAACAAAACCAGTTGAATTTTCAAAGTGAGTACAACGTAGATCACAGCTGGGCGTTTTGCATTTGTGATAGTAATGTGTACAAGTATGTTCCTTTTTGAGGTTAGACGATGAATTATTATTATTATTATTTTTTATTTTTCATGGTATCAGGAGAGTGAAACTTTGGTACAAACTTCTTCATGTGGAACCCTATAATAATAAAACGTAAATTGCAATCTGTGCACTAAATATTTTAACAACATTTGCACCTCTGTATTAGGTTTGGGTTAATTGTGTAAATCTAATGAATTACTTTTTGGAGTTGCACTGGTTGGATCAGATTCGCCACATTTAAATAATCACCATACATTATTTGATGGAAATGTTTATGATAAAAAGTATTATATTATGCAGTCCAAGCAACCACTGCCCTAATAGCAGCAACATTTCAGGACGTTCTTAGTTCGTTGAAACGTAATGTACATGTATATGTATCAGTGCAGTGAAAATAAGGTGTTGTTGCTGCAGATGATGTAATCAGCAAACAGTTGTTAAGAATAAAGTAACGTTTGTATCGATGGATATCAAATTCGTATGGAAATGTAACGAAGAAGAATGTGCGTCGTAAAAACATATAAACAGGCCCTAGGCCTACGCATGTTCGACGTCCTAGGCGTGCGCACTCACTTAGTTGTGCACGTGCCGACGGCCAACAAACTTCGATAACAACAATCTACAAGCAATTTGTTAACGTATTTGGTTGTATGTTGTATGACATCGCACTCACTGAGTTGCACCGACGGACAACAAACAACAAATACAACAATCTAGTTGCAAATTAGCAGACAACTTCCCTTTTTTTGGCGCGTTTCTAATTTATTATATATATAAATATTTATTTTTATATGGTAAATATATATTTTTTCATGTCCAAAATTGCCTCATTTGGCTGCTAATCAGGCGATCTTATCAGATCGCCAGCGAAATATCTGTGTTTACCTTGTCAGGAAGTCATCTCCTTGACCATGGTTGAGGGTGCAGATCACAGGCATTCTCGCGACCGGCTCGACAGGAACAAATGATTTGTTAGCATAAAAAGGAAAGGGGTTCTTGCTTCAGGTGACTTTAACTGTCTTTAGTCAATGTATTTATTTTCCAACCTCAGTAATTTGTTATTTACCCAGAGGCAGCATAATGTTAAAAATTCAGGTTAATGGGGGCAATTCTCTAAACTCTCGTCGTGGACAATCGCAACACGGCAATTTTAGGAGGACAGCAGCCTAAAATGTGCCCGTTGTTCTATGTTTTCCTAAATAATGTATGTAAGATCAGGCCCAATTAATGGCATTTAATCGCAAATGTCCCTTTTTATTTATTTTATTTTATTTATTTTTTTTGCAGACTGTCTTGTGCTGAAGTAACTGGGTTAGTGTACATGTAGAACGCCCCCCTTTATGTTAATCTTCCACGTGCGTCTGACTTCCATCCATTATATTGTTGTGCAAGTCACATTTCTATTCAATGCAGGTAAATAATTATGAATGACTCATGTTAAATGAACATAAAAATTCAAGTGAGCAGCAGACTTGAACCTCAGCGCTCGAACCCGCTATATCTCTTGTACAATTTGCCAAGGAAAGTGATGGTACATATGCAGGGCAGAAGGTCTGTAATGTGAGCACTATGATTTAGTCTACATGGAACTTGTGCATCTGTCAGAGCTGCGCTCATATAAAAGTGAGTGAATGTTTTAACTCATTCAGTAGAATAAGAGTGCAGGGGCGTAACCAGGCATAGGCATAGTTTAGAAACTGTCCTCAAATGCTATTGACGGTAGGGTGTTGTGAAATTATTTAAGTTTTAAGTTTATAACACGAAAATATGGCATGTTACAGGTACATGTATAACTCAAATGCTTACAATGCTTTCAGGTTATAATTATGACTTTGCTTCGTTGGTGGGTTTTCTGCACATGTCGGTTCTTCTTTGAGCTTGCTCAGCGCGTCTGGTGGCAATGCAACGGTACCGCTAAAACGCTGAGTCGTACTCGGAAGGGTCAGCTCTTTGAACAATCAGCTCAAGTGAAAAACATCATCTGGAAATGCAAATTAAACCCCATAAGAGAAGCAGAGCCCGATAAATTCATGGCCATTCACAGTCATTTTGCACATCCGCGCTGTATATTGAAGGACAGCGTCACGCTCATTTACGTCGACGAGAAAGAGGCTTTGTTCGTTGAAACGCCGAAGGCAGTGGATATCTATAGGTCTGACCTTTGTCCTTTCATGTATATGGCACAGTTTGATCACGCTGTTCGCTTAATTGTCTTGCCAATTTTAGCATTCCATAGAATGGCGGACGAGATCGGCGACCCGAAAACTGATATATTGCTTCTCTCGAACACAGGGCGATGCGGGTCGACGTTAGTAGCGCAAATTCTCGAATCTCTCCCGAGAGTTGTGTCGATGAGCGAGCCAGGTGGGTATGCGAGTTTGAATATCGTTAGGAAACGGACCTCCCGCAAAGGATTTGAAAAGCACGTACGGAGCGTGGTTCGACTTACTTTCAAACCGCAGGATAGCAACCCCCGACTAATGTGCCTCAAAGCAAGAGCTGAGAATTTCGTTTTTACGGACATTGTGGCAAGCGTGGTCCCACAAATGAAACACCTGTTTTTATATCGAAACGGCAAAGAAACAGTTCAGTCGTACTACCACGCATTCGCTTCCCTGCCTCATAGCAAACGTTCACACGCTTTTCAGACAAGTCGCCTTGCTCACTACCTTTTTCCGCGCCAGGCCCGATTCAAATGGGACCTGGAGGTCGACACGGAAACGTATTCATGGCTGGGGAACGTCAATCTTATACAACGGGTTTCAATTATAGGATGTTATGTTGCGGTTTGGGCGACCATGTGTGCTAATTACTGTCGATTCCACCAGAATGGTGTGGGCATTAAATCATTTAAGTATGAAGATCTTATAAGGAATCCACACTTCGCCTGTGAGCAATTACTGCAATACTGTAACCTACCAGTGGAATATGCTACAGAAGCTTGCAGGGTCATGCAGCATGACTCTCAAAAAGGAAAGTACGTTACCAGCGATACGCTTGAGAGAACAGGGCGGGGCCACCTTATTGATTGGACAAAAGACGTCCAATCCGAAGCAAATTTCTTTTGTGACCGCCTTGGCGTTGCACGCATTGGTGAAGTGACAGTGTTACCAGACACTATATCTTCGACTGGACATAGTTGACATTTTACCTACGTAAACATGGAATCATTCCGGTAAGGGTAAAACATGGTACTCTGACAAGAACAAAGTCACGGCAGATCAAATGAGTGACTGCACTAATCCCTATGTATTAGGGGATGATCTCCGTAATGCGTAATGTGAATTTCGTAAGCTAATTCTAGACTATTTGCCATTTCTCAATGGCATTGGTGAGTAAGAATTAAAACAAAGAATTTGCTGGATAGGAAGGGTACACCTTAATTCGATTTGTCGTTTTCTCCGCTCTGTCTTTCATGTTATTTTCTAGTTGGGGGTGATGCGCCCCAATTATTTTACTGGCGACGTTAATAAAACTTAGAAGGCTTTTTTCTTCCCTGCATTGTATATGAGGCGATGTTTTTTGTCTTTGATATTGCTTTTACTGGTTCAAAATGGCTGCTATCCTCAAGATGACTTTGCAGTGTATAAAATACATCTAATGCAGGGGCGGATCTACAGATATTTTCTGTCAGTCTTCCGCATTATCTTTGTTGATCCATCCTCCATTTTTTGACCGTCTTCCGACAGAAAAAAGTAGGTACTCATCAATGTAAATTTAGAAATTTGACCGTCTTCCTGAAGACCCAGAAGACAGCCTCAATCTGCCCCTGTAATGGATATTGTTGAGGATGTAACGAAGATCAAAAGACAACAAAAATGATATAAATAAAATGAACAATAAATTTAATGTGACGTAAAAATGGTACAAAATCATGGATAAAACAGAAATAAATTGTGCTGCTGCTGTAGGGTCGCTGAGCCGCGGGCCGGTAAATCGTTGTCGCTGCTGCTGAGACGCTGAACGGTAGATACTGTAGACGTGCTTATATATGTGCTGGAGTTTCCGACTGCTCCTTTTCGGGAGAGATAAAAAAAAGGAGGGGGTAGGGTGAAACGTCGCTGACAGATATTGGTATTCATTGGATTCCACTAGCCTGTGTTGATAAAACAAGGTCCTGGTCTAGAACAAGTAAGGACACGCGAAAGAAAAGAAAATCCCTAAATTTCTGAGTCAGTAATTCAGGCCTTCCCAACTACCAGACTCGGCACCTACGGGTCCAGTATAAACCGGTTTATCAGACCACACTGCCCGTTTTCAAGGTGTGTGTCAGATCGCATTACAGAGTATCAGCCTCCACACCGATTTTGCCTGGTGCGCGATGTGATAGCAATGATCCTAAGCGGGGTTGGAAAGTAGTGCATCTCATCTAGATTCATGCGCTGCGGCAATTTTCTCTGTTTATGCTAAAATCTGACAGTACCGCAATTTTTAACATAAAATTTAGGTTCGGACATAGCCATTGATGTTTTGTAAATAAGAACTTGCAAACTTATATATTAATTTAGAAAAGTAGACCTAATTTTGATAGCAGAAGCATATTCTGTCGGGGGTTAAATATTTTCGTGACTACCGGGATGGACGAGATTGAGGGCAGGGGTAATCCTAGAGAGGGGTGAGAAACGTCCATTGTTCTCGTCAGCGAGGCTGTCCTTTTTCAGGGTTTGTACGCACGGACAGAAAACTTAAGTATTGTGGGAACGTTACTAATGAAGCCACTGGTAGTACTAGTAGATATCAGCCTGTAGTCTTGAACAAGCACCTCGATGACGAGTGAACAGTTGTTAAAAACAAAAGACCCAGGTGTGGTAGTTCAACTACTGTTGATGCGTGCCGCAACGACCAAACCTAATTGCTCCTCAAGGTCACAAAACAATAACCGGTACTGAAGGCTAGGCTCGTCTTAATCATATAAGTAGCGCGTTTCCACCCCCTGATTGAGGGAGTCGTCTGTTGTATTCATGCGACTCCTACTTGACGAAAACGAAGCGCGATACCCGGATGACAGGTAGGCTTACAGAATTTGTGATAGGGTATGATACTCTTTTATGCGATCTGACACACACCTTGAAAACGGGTAGTGTGGTCAGATATACCGGTTTATTCTGGACCCGTAGGTGCCGAGTCTGGTAGTTGGGAAGGCCTGCGTAAGCACGTACGGAGGATGTTGGACATGTCCAAAAGTTTCTACGAATAGCCTGCGAACAGCGAGACCGCAAGCGTAACTTGCTCCCCTCGCACGGACTTAGCAAGAGAGACGCGCGTTGTGCAAGACGCACGTCGCAAGCATTGAAGGAGTAAGTGCCCTTTGCGTGTTGAGTAACTAACGAACAAAGTCGAGAGCCCACCGGGAATGCGTCGCATGTGCGACACCCCCACGCCTGGTGTATAAAAGGCGTGCTCACGACGAACGCTTGCGTCTTTACAATTAACATAGACTATGTAACGTGTACAGCAATTTTCAAAATTTTCAAATTTTTGCTCAATTTAGTTTCTAATATGCCTCCAAAAGGCATATTAGGCAAGAGAATGAAGCTTACATAGGAGAAAAAAAGGAGGAAGAAGAAGAAAGAAGAGGAGAACAGGAACCAAAACTGACGTACGCCGTCAGTACGTCACCACAAACGTGAAGCAAAACTGACGCAAAAGGGCACTACTTTCGCCGCGCGTTGCATTCCCTTCGTAAGTGGTGAGTGTGTGCCACGCACACAGAAAGCAAGACAAACTAAAAAAATAAGTACAATTTCCACGACCATCGCTCCTTGCAATTAGCGTCCCTGCCTGAAAGGACATCTCATGGGACCCTTGCGACTCGCAAGTCAGACTTTCCTATACCTCTACGACCTCCTCGGCCTCCGCAACACCCAAAAATCGCAGGGGTCGTACGATCCTGAAATTCGTGCGTCCGGTTGTGACAGAGGCTTTACAGCACGTAAAACATGTATCAGCCTACTCAGCATTTGTACAATCCGGCTATCCGTAAAGGCTAACCGGGTCTTTCTGCGAAATCACGAAAAAATAAACGATGGTCATTTTACGGTTACGGATAGCTAAATGTAGTCGGTCGCCTAAACGTGCAGGTGCGAAAGCTCTCTAGTATGTTGTATCTCCCAGATGTGCTGCGTAAAACGTTTGCCGAGCTGAACATGGCTGGGAATTCACCCACTTTATACAAAATCTTCTTGGCTCCTAAAACGAAGACCAAATCTCTCTTGTAGCCGAACCGTATCAATATATTCTGCACGGTGCTGCCCGTTGATTTATGCGTCTGATGAAAACTATTACCAAAAATAACACGGTAACAAGAATGTGAGTAATATGAAACGATTGGCCATATCAGTGGCGTGGTACTTCGTTTTCTTCATCCTGTAAAACGTTTATATGTTGTAAATCCTCCATGCTGATTCCATAATATGAATTCACCTGAAAAAAAAAAAAAAAAAAAAAAAAAAAAACAAATGTGAAATATTAAACAAATTTAGAATAGTTCTAGTCCCTAGTGTACGTTGAAGAAGTAAGAGGGAACTGAAAATGAGGATTTGTCACAGTAAACGACCCTATGAACGTTCTCTTTCCAGAAAAAAAAACAATCTGCTTAGAGCATGGACTTGGAATCCCCCTCATTTTGGCATGGCTCCTCTCCTATGAATTTGAAACATCAGATTTGAGGAGGTTCACGTTCTCAAATTTGAACGCTACACCTTCATTTTGTTTTTCTGTACCAAATTATGCATGGTCTCTGATTTTTACCCCTGTACAGCTGAATGTGATAAGAAGTAAAAAAGGGATTTGATGTATGTCAACATTTTTGAACAGGAGTCTATATTTATGAGTAGTGTCACCGCTCCAATGCCATTTGCAAGTCGTTCACTCTTCAAAGTTTACCCCGTTAGACCTTTTCTTGTAAATATATGCAAGTTTCATTTACTTTTAGCAGAATGTCCAAGATTTTTTCCTCCACGCCACTGTTCTTAATTTGAATATCCAAGCATCACGGGTTCATACATGTTTATCTTATAATGTTGCTGAATGAAAATATCCCTACTGCGTATCATCTTTTATTAAATTGTTGTCTAACAGTGTGCAAAATATATATGGAAATCAATGCTTTATAAAATAAATGTTGGTCATAGTTTGTCATCCCTGAATAATTACTTTAGTAAATGCGTGTTTCATATATTGTTTGTTGGATGAACATCTTGGGAGGCCGTTCGTCTAAAAGTTGTCCATATTCCCTCATATGTGCGTACAGTCTGTCTGTGAGATTTTGACCAAATAAAGACATCAAAACGCATTTTTCTATTGTGGAGCCAATTTTGCTAAGTTTTGGAATAACCACTTCCCGATATGTCGTTGGGTTTCCTGGTATTCGCCGTTTCATTTGTAAAAACGATTTTCGGTCAAAGCACAGGTCCTTCCAGTATTCATTGAGCCTTTTTAATTCTTGAACTTCTTTATTAAGCCTCTCAAACCCAAATTGCTGAACTTTTCTCCAAAATGTTCGGTTAAAATGGTCATAAAGACGTTGATCACCAGCATTCCATATTTTGATCTTCGCAGTATCTTCTGTAGTGACTGGTACAATTTTCCTCTTTGGGCGCTTATTCAGTTTGATATAAACTACATCATCAAGAGACCAGTTAAGAAGATGCCTCAACAGAACCAAAGATTCATCAAAATATTCTGTTATCATCACAAAGTCAAACTTTTCTTCTACTTCCAATATTTTTTCGTATATTGCACTTGAGTTGTCATACATAGTGTTCTCTAATCCTAAATCCGTAAGAAATGAATTTTTTAAAGTAGTCGCTATGTGTTGAATAGGAAGCTTGAATAATTGTGCAGGTCTGTCTAAAAACTCAATAATTCCATTGGTCTTGTTTAATCCTAGTGTCTCACCTATGTTGAAAAAGGTGAAAAATGACTCAAAACTGCTGACAGGATTCCGGAGTATGGTAAAATAAAACGTATCAGCGGGCATAACTTTCTTTATCTCGTCACTAAAGCGGGTGTGGTGACATAATATATCATATTTTCCAGT